GTAGAAGGTGAAAGATGACGATGAAATGTATATGAAATGTATATGAAATGTACGAAAGCAGGCATGAGGTAATATATCCAAATATGGAAAATTACGCATTCTATACATATATATATATAATATAAATATATAAAATAATTATTATTATAAAATATAAAACAACAATTGAAACTATTGGATAATAATAATAACTTTGATCTTAACTGAATTTGTATAATTATCTAATCAAATAAAAAATTATAAATATCATATCATAATAGATATTTCTATCTATTATTATTATTATTACTTATTATTATTCCTTTATCTGTTATGATTCTTTATATCAATTTCCTGACAAGAAAAATTCAAGATAAAAAAAAGATTTTAAATTTGTAATCACATGTAATATTTTCAAATAATTAATTTACCAAGGAAATAACTAAAAATAAGAATAAATGGACGAAAAAAATTACACTCTATGACATAAGCTATTTGCACAATTCCGTTACACAATTCCATTACACAATTCCATTACACAAGCCATTACAGCCATTACACACGGAGAACCATTACACGAACTATTACATATGAAGGTTAATTTTGTATTTTTTTTTTTTTAAAAAAAAAAGCTTTTTGAACGAAGCAAGCGAAAATATGTGGATGGTATTGTACAATATTAGTGAGAGAGAATACACATTTTTTTTTGTTTGAGATGAAAAACTTTTTCATTTGTTTAAAAAAAAAAAATTTATATTTAGCATTACAGTTTATTACATTTCATTACATATCGAATAACAATATTAATAATAATAATAATTATAATACAGATATAAAAATATACTGATATAAAAAAAAAATATAAATATATATATAGATAGATGATATATACAGATATGTAAATATGTAGACAAAATACAGGCATTATACAGATGGTTTGAGATTAATAATCAAAGAAAGAAAAGAAAGTCTTACAGTTACAATTAAGGCAAGAAAAATATTTACAAAATATCATTTCAAATGAATTTTAGTATCGCATGTTGTTTTATGATTATTATTATTATTATGATTACTGATTATGATATTTATTATTATTATTTTGTATTATATTTTTTGCATCATATTTTTGGATTATTTATATCGTTGTTTAAATGAAAGAAATGATAGGTGTATATTCAAATCCGTGTGCAAAAAGTGTGTAGTGCGTTAAGGCGTGTGCAAAATTATAAATTTATTTATATATGAATAATAATAATATATATGAATAATATATGAGAATAATATATGAGAATAATATACGGGATAGTGTAAAATAGAGTAATTAGTGTAAAACGGTAAATGGTAATTAAAAATTGTAAAATAGAGTGAAACAATTTGTATGAAAAATAAAAGAGGTGCGAGGATATTCACTTAATTGGATAAAAAAAAAAAAAAAAAGGTTTTGATTGTTGTAAAATGTGGGGAATTGTTGTTATCAAAATTTTTTTTTTTTTTTTGTATCTATTTTTTTTCGGACTACTAAAATAAATAAAATCATTTAGCCAATAAGGAAATAATGGACAAGTAGAAAAAAAAAATAAATAAATAAATAATAATTCAAATCTACGTATTTAATTTATAGGCCAAATGTATGTGTGTCATATGTAAATTAGAACTTTATCAAATCTATTTTCACAATACCATCTGCAATTATTCTCTTCTCTCTCATTTGGGATAATATTAAAATTTTATTTTATTTATTTTTTTTTTTATATTACATGTTGTGCTTATCTTTATTTGGTGTACCTTTTTTTTTTTTTTTAGTTTTAGTTTTGTATGTGTCAACAATTTATGGAATTGACGGAAAACTGATATGGAACTAATGAGTTAATGAATAGAAATTGGAATTTGATATGAAATTTTAATGATGGGTTGAAGTTAGAGGGCGCGAAAAAATGTTGTAAGAGAAAAATAAATAAATAAATAAGTAAATAATAATAATAATAATAAATAATAACATTTAAAATAACTTGCACTAAAATAACACCCATTTTAAAAATAATAAACCCTACACAGTATGACAATACGACAATATGATTATTTTGATTATTTTTGATTATTCTTGATTATTTTATTTTTGATTATTCTTTTGATTATTTTTTTGATTATTTTTTTGATAATTTTTTTTTGATTATTCTTTTGATTATTATTGTAAAAAATAAGAATAATATTTTAATTTCTTTCTAACAAAAATAAAAATAAAAATAAAAAAAGAGGAAAACATAATAATAATGAAATAATTAAGAAAGAAGAAGAAGAATAATAATAATAATAATAACAAAGAAGAGAATAAAAAAAGTATAAGAAAGAGAATTAAAATTGCGGATTAAATAATGACGATGTGCATATGATACAACCGTGCCATAGATAAATCCCTAACCTTAATATATTCAATATTCTCATACTAAATATACTAAATCATTATATTAATTAATAGTTATTATTAATAAGTATTATTAATTATCAATAAATAATATTATATACTTGTTACAGTTACACTTGTTATACTAATTATATTACCAATAATACCAATTATACCAATTATACCAATTATACTAATCATCACAAGCAAACAAGTAAACATCCTGATAACACCCCCTGTAATCAAATTGAATAAATGAATCAAAATCAAGTGAATCAAATGAATCAACTGAATCAATGGTATCGAATCAAAATGAAACCAACTAAAAATTATAATATAATAATAAACCATAATAGCTTACCGTAATCAACATCAATATCAAATATCATGAATGACATCTTCCGTGTTCCGTGTTTATCATCATTAATTTAAAAATAATTTTATTATTATTATTAATCTCTTGTTTGTCTATGTTTGTTTCTCTTTTAAGATAAACTTTTTTTATTTTGGCTGCCCCACATCCAAGAAAAATTCATGTTTAATATAATCTCAGCCTTATGGCTACTATGAATTATCTAACTTTTACGAATATGAAGATTATTATTATGATGAATGTTTTTGCCCCCCCTTTTTTTTTTCTTTTTTTTTCTCGTTTTTTTTTTCCTACTTAACCTTTTTACCTCCTTGTTCTTTACTTTTAGTCTTTAAAATTGTCTTTTAGCATCAAACAACAAATGTGAATAATAAATATGAATAACAAATATAAATGATTAATAATAAAAAAGATAAATAACAAATATGAATAATAAAGACGAATAAACTATCAATAACTATCAAAGCATCATCAAAAAAAAACACCCAACAAAAACAACTTTAAATAGAGGTAAAAAAAAAAAAGTTAAAAAAGTAAATATCATATATCATATATCATATATTCATCATTTTATATTTCATGTATTCATCATTAATATAAAAAAAAAAAAAAAAAGCTTCGAGCTAAAAAAAATACTATTAAAGCAGGTTTTTTTAATAGTATAAATTAATTGTAAAAAATTCAGACATTCGAACCTCCGAATAGTAACAACAACAATTATTTACACATACTCAATTATACTCAATGATTCGAAAATAAATAAATAATAATAATTCTAATATATATATTTGTACATCATCATTATAATAATAATAATAATAAATAATAATAATAATAATAATAATAATAATAATAATAATAATAAAATTTACTAATTAATAATAAGAATTAATAATATAATTGAAAATATACTCTTTATTAAACTACTTTCAATATATTATATAGTATATAATAAGTAGAATCGATACAATCAACATATTATATTAAAGCGGGTTTTTTAAAATAAAAATAAAAATAAACTATAATTTACACCGACGACCGAAAAAGGACTTTCCAAAAAAGCCATCATTTTTTCTATTTATTTATTATTATAAAAAATATTATAAAATTTTTATAATAATAATTTATATTTTATTTTATTTTATTTATATTTTATTATATTATAATTCATTTATATTTATAATTATATATAATTATATATGAATATATCTGAATATATACGGCTGTTTCATTAATTATCATACCACGACTATCATTTATCATTACTTTAGAAAAAAAACTTTTATTTACTTTTTTTATTTACTTTTATTTACTTTTATTTACTTGGTATTAGTAATATATTTTATTTATTCAATATAATATCTCATTTCTTTTACCTCATTCAAAACAAGTCTAATACAAAAAAATCTTTTTATATATGCTTTTTAAAATAACAATTTCCTTCTTTATTTTATAACAATTGTATTTAATTGTCATAATTATCCGATTTTTACTTTTTTTTTACTATATATTTTCCCCCACTTTTTTTTTTTATATATATAATATATACATATATAAATTTATAGATTACTTCAAAAAATTTATAAATTCGCCAGAAAATTCGTGTCCTTCCTTTATTTTTTTTTCCGGTCAAATAATTAATCAAATTATCATTTTCATCTTTCGTTTTCCTTGAGAAAAAAAAATATATTTTAAAAGAGAGACACGAGGCTTGGCTTCTACATTTCTATAATATATCCTAATTTCTAATTTTGTTTCGAACTTCATTACCAAAAATTAATTTTCTTTTGCCAGTATTTTTTATCATTATTATTATTGAAAAAATAATATAAATCAAATTTATAAATCAAATAATCATTCGATAAAAGAAAAAATATGTATTTAACCACAACACTTTCCACTTTACCTGCTACCACTTCATCTTTTTCTCCTTTACGACCTATAAATTTACATGGAAAACCTTTACCAAAAATACCAAAACAAAAATCATCAAAGAAAGAACTTGAAATTTTAGCTCCTCGATTACGTCCAACTACAATTACTACTTCTTCAAGACCCGAATTTTATTCTTCTCAACAACAACAACAAATACAACAACAGATACAACAACAGATACATCAACAGATACAGCAACAGCAACAACAACAACAACAACAGATACAGCAACAGATACAACAACAACAACAACCACCATCTCAATCACCACAACAATCATCAAATAATCTTTCACCATCGATAATACAAGATATGTCTTTACTTGAAAAAGTTCCTTTAGAACGCGCATCAGATTTTGCTGCTCACATGACATGCTTCCTATGGTTTGGAGATTATATGATGGATATTACTTCTAATTGTTCTTCCTCTTCTTGCGGTAGTTTAGTTGGTAATGGAATACATGGAAGATTTATTGATTATCAACCTACCGATGCATTTAAAAAATTTTGTCGTGATGTAATTTCGGCTACTCAAGTTTCTCATTCGGTAATTCTTTTATCATTATTATATACTGCTAGAATGAAAATGAATTACCCTACAATTAAAGGTCAAAATGGTTCCGAATATCGAACATTCACTTGTGCTCTAATGTTAGCTAATAAATTTTTGGATGATAACACTTATACCAATAAAACTTGGTCAGAAGTAACGAACATTCCTGTGACTGAAATAAATATGATGGAAAAAGAATTTTTAAGTTCATTAGATTATCAATTATATGTTTCCGAACAACAATATTTTGAGTGGGTTCGTAATATGGTAACTTATGTTTCAGGGGATGATTATCAAAATAATAATAATGATGATAATAATTCAACACCGGATTGTTCTTTAAATATTTCTCAACAACAACAACAACAATATAATAATATTCCGCAACAACCAATATTTCAACATCAATTACAACAAATTCGAGAACCACAACAACATTTAGTTCCTCCACTTAAAAGATCAGTTGAGGAAGCTTTTGTTGACGGAATGACGGTTTCGCCTTCCAAAAGATCAAATTGTCCTTACGAGGGACAACAACAACGACAGCAACAACCACAACGACGACAAGAAATATATTCCCGAGATTATTATAATAATAGTAATCGCAATAATTCTTCTTCAAATAATTTGATGCAATATGAATATACTCCCGCCACTACGACGACACACACAACTACCACCACCACTACCGCAACAATTATGGATCCAATGACTGGTATTATTTATAATACCAGAGGATATCAATCGAATTCAAGTTTTCCAATGAATAATTTGAATAATTTATCATTTACAACAGCTGTGGTATAAATTTTATTTTTCACAATTGGGTGTTATAATTACGATTGTAATTATTGTTAATAATAGTATATAGTATATATGAAGTCAGTCAGCTTATGAAAAAAAAAAAATAATGAAAATTATTTTTTTTTTCTTTTTCCAATTTCAATGCATTCATTTCATTCATCATCCATTCACCCATCCATTCACCCATCCATTCACCCATCCATTCATTCATCTATTCATTCATCTATTCATTCATCCAATTCATTCATAATAATAATAATTTGTAAAGGCGTTATTTGATGGCGCAAATTTCATAATTTTTTGCTTTTTTTTTTTCTGTACAGATTTCTTTTTTTCCTTTAGATATTTTCTCTTTGCATTGTATTTTAATTTTTAGCATTTTTTTCCCATAAATTTTTTTACATAAATCAAAAAATTAGAGTTTTTTTTTTTAGTTTTCTGCGCGCAACAAATTTTGCGCACGTGTTTCTTTTTTTTCGACTTTGTCTATTCATTAGATTAATTTTTCATTTCGCTAAAATAAAAAAAAAAAAAAATGAAAATTCAACTTGTCTAGAAAAAAAAATAGTAATAATAATAATTATAATTATAATAGTAATAATGTCGAGAATTTCTTGTTTAAAAAAAATAAAATAAAATACGAAAACCAAAACGATGTGGAAACGGAAAAACCGTCTCCCGATTTTTTTCTTAAGAAAAATCTAAAAAAACGTGATATTTTTATTATTTTCAAGTGTTTAAATTTTATATAAAATTTTCAAATGATAATTTCCAAATGATGATGTTTAAATGTATATACATATACATCATTTCAAAAATAGTCAAAATGTTCAAATGGAATAGATGGAATGAATGAATAAATATTGTTTATTTATTTATTCAATTATAATTATAAATTAAAGAATATAATAATAATAAAATTAAAACAAATGCAAAATAAAGATGTATACAAGTTAAACTTAATGACCTTGACTTTTTTGTTTTTTGTTTTTGTTTTTTTTTTTGATTTTACACTTTTTCTTTTTACTTCTTGATCCTTGAATTACTACTCTTGATTTAGATGATTCTATTTTTTGATAATATTTGATAATTATTATTATTAAAAATATCTTGTTGGTTACATGTTTCATATAAACTTAAAAAGTCTTTTTTTAGGGGTAAGGATGATTTGTTTGAACTGTTGACGCGCAAAAAAAAATCATGTATTTTTATTTTTGAATTTAAAAAAACTTGAAATATATGTAACATATAAGTAAATGATTGTATCCATGTTTATTATTATACTTCTTCCCTTACTTTCATATACTTATACTTTCGTATATTTTCATATATTTCACCCTTTCATTAAACTTATTCAATATTAGATTTTCATATATTTTCATATAAGCAGTCATATGTAAAAACAAATAATATAAATAAGCTGAAATCATTTTAATTATGTGGCAAATTCTAATATTCTCTATACTCTTCTAATTATTCTGATAAATGATAACAATAAATAAATAAATAATAATAATAATAATAATAATAATAAATAATAATAATTTTTTTTTGTTCTGAGGAGGAAAAAACAAGTATTATTATTATTATTATTATTCATTACATACATTTCTATGAAAAAACGAAACATGTGTTAATAAAGTAAGACTGACGTTAATATGACACTTTGATAAAATTAACTTCGGATGACCTAGAATAAACTTAAATTAAACTTAGATTATATTAGCATTTAATAATTATAATAATAATAGTAGCATTTAGTGTAAATAATAGTAAATGTTGTTGTTGTCCAGTATTTTTTTTTCACACGGGTGGCAAACAAACGAATGAGAGACCGATAAAAAAATATGAACCAATCGCTTTATTTTGTTTTATTGTGAAACAATTAACACAATTGACTTAGCTTGTTTATATTTGATATACATATAGACAATTTATATTAATATTACCCTATTTATATTACTCATATTTTATTATTCAATCAGGCGCTTCTTTTTGAACGAATTGAAAGAGAAAATAAAAGGAGAAAAACCAGTTTTGTATATTCAATGTTACACTCACTTTTTTTACACACAACAAACAACAACGGTTTCCATCTTTATTGTTTTTCGACCTTTTTGTTTATATGGTGATGATCACTAATAAACATGATTATTTTTTATATATAAATAAATTATAGATATAAGTAAGACAAATATAAGATAAATATAAGATAAATATAAGATAGTTATACGAAAATTAGAATGACTCCCTATCCGCAGTTAATTAGCCCGCGTTTTTTTTATATTTTAGTCCAAGCCACCATACCATACCTCCTTTGTTGATTTTCATAATGGGTTGTCTTAATTTCTACAAAAATAAAAAATGTGAATTTATTTTTTTATTTATCGTAGTACATCATAATAAAACTTTCTAATTTTTTTTTTTTTTTACATCATTTTTTTATCATCATTTTTTCTTTATCGAGTATCAAAAAATTCAAAGAATTTTTTTTTCATTCTCTCTCCTGAGTTATTCCAGAGTTCGGAATGCATTTTATTGTTATTGTTATTTTAGTTAGTTATATTTTCTTCAAAAAAAAAAAAAAAAAACTAAATCAAGTTGGTAAAACTGAATCAAGTTAGTAAATAGTTAGTAACAAATAAAGTTTTCATTTATATATATATTTGTAAATCAAGAATTATCGTCTTTTATCTATTATTAAAATTATGAACAAAAAAAAATTTTCATGTCTTTATGATGTATTTTCATTTGTTTAATATAATTTTATAATAGTGCACCTTATGCACATGCAACGCATACAACACACCAGTACTAAAACAAGATTGCGCCCTTTGTTACACGAATTCTGCAAAGTTGTTATTTCCGAGATCGAAGTTCGGAAAAGAAAGAAAAGAAATTCATTTATGCTTGGTGCTTGGTATTTGTGGCAAAGTTTATACATTTTCCGTTTCTTGGCTTTGAAAATATTTGATTGATAATTATTTTATATACTTTTTTTGAGAATGATTTTCAAAGTTTCGGCGTGTTGTAGATGTGGTGGTGGCGTGTGGCGTGTTTTTTTGGCGTCGAGACGAGAAATCTTGAAATTTCAAAAGTTTTAAATTGATTTATTCGATAATAATAATAATAATAATAATTATAAAAATAATAAACAACAGGAACAATAATATTAAAGATAATGTTAAAAGATAATATCAAGTGATGATACAAGAATAATAAATAATATTATAATTTTCTTATAACGTTCCTCAAATGGAAAATAAAAAAAGTTGCGGTGCGAGAGACCGATCTTTTTCTTCTAATTTTGATTTAGAAAAAAACATGTCATGTTTACATGTTCATTGTATATAGTAATATAGTATAGTATCTATGAGTGTGTACTTATATGTATTTTATATATTTTATATACTTTATATACCGTTTTTTAAATTATATTATACTAAAACGTATATATGTATTTTATATATTTATAATATTATTAAAAAAAAAAAAAGATTGAATTCTTGAATTCCCTTCATTTCTTACTTCTGCTGTATTTCTTTTGTAAGAAATCAAGCATGCGTTCTTATTCACTAGTCACATGTAAAATATGTGGCTTTTGGGCAATTTATATATCTATTATTGTTGTTATTTCTATTCCTATTATTATTGTTATTATTATTTTTTTTTATTATAATTATATATTATCAGAAATCAGGATGGGATAAATAGATATAGTGTGAAATAATTTTCGTAAATCTCTTTTTCGCAAAAACGCCAATCTGTATAGAATATCACGCCATCAGTATCATTAAATAATATATTAGGTAGGTTAGATTGTAATATTACTTACCTTTTTGATAAATAATCTTCCCAATTAAGTACTCCTGCTTTTTTTTTTCCCTTCCCTCCTTTACTATTATTTCTTCTCCTTGTTTATCATTGTATTTTTTTTAGTATTCGTCTAAAATGGTTTTAAATATTGTGTCAAATTTCTTTATTTTTTCTTTATTACCCTTTTTTATATTATCATTAACCAAATTCATATGAAGTGTACATATAATAAATAAATTTCCAAAATTAATGAGAATATTCTTTCTTAGTTCTTGTCGCTGTTGTTATTGTTGTTATTGTTGTTGTGGTCGTCGTGTTGTTGTGTGTGAAAAAAAAATTCCCGAAAATCTCTTCCTAAAAATTAATATGAAACGATCAACTAAACATTTACCAGTTTTTTTTTTTAATAAGATTTGTCTTTTAAGGGAATGTGACTAAATTAAGTATTAAAGAATATGATAGATAATGATAGATCTTTTTTTTCATTGTACTGAAACACACGCAGAAACACGCGTTATTCATTATGAAATAATCGTCCCTCCCCCTAACTTTATTTTATTTTTAGTAATCTTTTTGCTTTGATCATGTGGTCAAAGAAGTAATTAGGAATTGCCTAGATTATCATGAAGTATTGAGATGCTTTTAACAAAATTAGTAAAATTAAATTTTGTAATTATGATAGATTAATATAATACTTATTGACAATACCTTTAATAGATTAAATTTTTTTTTTGTCATGATATTTTAATTAAATGATAAGTATTAAATTTTGATAGGTAGTTGCAACCTGAAATTGTAGTTTAATTTCTCGCGAAACGTAGTGCAGATCGCCGATCACCGAATTCATAGATAAAATTAATGATTTATTGATTTAATTGATTCAAAAATTTTTTTCTATTCCAACAGGTTCTAATAAAAAAAAAAGGTTGAAGCAAGCATGAAATCATTCTAATAAAAGACCAGGAAAAGAATCTGGATTAAGAGATACGGAAGCAAATGCATTTGTACAAAAGTTTCATCATAATTATTAAAAAAACGTGATAACATGTAATTTTACTAATAATAATAATAATAGTATTTTATTATTTCCAGAAAAAGAAAAGAAATGGATATTTAATTAAGTCATTTATTATGAATGAAAATATCTTCTATTGTTATAAATCAAATCCTGTACGCAAACCGCCTTC